CGACGATTGAAAAGCCAACGATGAGCGAACTCACGTGGAAGTGTCAACAAGCGAATGTCCTATCCCGCGGAGTCGTCGTCGTTGTCGTACCACTTTCCACCTGATGACGAAACATTCAGCTGTTCACACGCGTGGATCTGCGAATAACACGGAATGAATATCGCGCCATTGATGTTATCGCATTGGCAAATTAAAACTCGTACCTGAGCGCGACGTGTAATTAGTAGCGATGGTAAATCACCAGCCATCGCACGCCATCCAACACGATGAAACAACTGAGCCAGCTGGTCTGCTGGATTTCTAGACTAAGCTCACTGAGCTCATATGAGACCGAATCACTGAATGAGACTGAGCGACGCTACGCGCCATTGGCTCGAGGAGGCGCCACTGTTGTTCGTGGCGCCTTCTCTCCTTTGCCACTGGCGTGTGAAGACTGTGAAGTTGGCCGCGCGACCTTTGAATTTCCTTCTTCGCCATATTGCTTGTAAGTCGTTAGTATACATTCGTGCGCAATCGTACTTTTTTCAGCGTTATTTTTTTGTTGCGACATAATAAAGGCGAGTAGAGTATCGTAATTAAGCATGTTGCGAGTGAATATACTGTGAACGTCGTACGTGTACTTTACGTACGAAGAAGTAGCAATAATTGGAACCCCCCGGCAAAATGAAGACGAGGCAGTGTACAGGCGGGAAGACAGCGGATAACAGCAAAAGAATTATGGGATAATTATTAAGGTATCATTTTATGTGTAGTGTAAAAATATATGAACAAGTATATAGTTTGTTAAAATGTTCAATTTATTATCATCTCAATTTTTTTATCTGCTTCCATCTATATGTATATATATGTATATTTTACAGGTATTTTTAATTATTATAACTAAATATTTCTAAAAGAAAGTAAATTTTTTGTTTTTTTTAAATTTGTTTTATAATACTTTTTGTTAAGAGGGTCTAAAATTTTATTTAAAGATATTAAATTTAAAAGCAAAGATGAATATTTTTCGTATTTATATGATATAATCATATCTTATCTTTTAGTTAGACAAAGAAAGTCCTTAATTGGCTATTGCATTTGCCTAGCCTTGATTGAAGCAAAATCAAAATTAATATGGCTAGACAGCAATTTGAAATGTATACTTCGGTAATGTTGTTTTTTTTTTAAACATTTAATATTTTTTAATACTATATTTAAAGACTTAATTATTTTTTGATTGGCGTGTCCACACAATGGCAGTACCAATTTAGAATGCACGTTCGGACACGCACGCCATTTTTAGGGCATGGCTAGATTCTGGTTTTCTAGGAACTTTGTTCTTCACTATGACCTCTGACTGCACGCTGGAAGCAAAAGATTCCAAACTCTTATCACTGCGAGCAGCAACCTATTGTTGCTCGACGCTTATTGCTTGCTGCGTGCTGTTTGAATTAAGCTTTAATTTGATAAATTTTCGTTACCGGAAGTAACAAAAGTAAAATTCCTCGTGCGATCTTAAAAAAATGTTTACTTGTCAAGCCGGCGAAAGCAACACGTTGCGAGCAGACTTAGAAAATTTTTTGCATGAGATGAACATTTTTAAAATATTTATTTTTTAAATGTAAACATATATTTTACGTTGTGTGTGAATAACATTCGTACTAATTGTAAGTTAATGGACGTTTGAACCAAATTGAAACCAAGTCTAAATGTCCAATGAATGTCCTGTGCTGAGTATGTATATATATATTTTTTTTTTTTTTCTTATTTTTGTTAGTAGAACATACCATCAAAGTTTTTATGGAAAATTCAGACACCCTGCATGTATTTACAAATGCATTTGCCTCGAAATACTCCGAATATATTTAGCTTTAGACGCGAAGACCTGCAATGCAGAATGTAAATTAACGCTTACTCCAACTTTATTAACATTGCTTTTAATGCTTCTTTTAATTTAATTTACTTTGCAATCGATGAATTGCGCAAATTAATTACAGATAAAATTAGAACATTGCCTTTCAGGAATTGATTTTATTTACTGGATGGTAATTGTATGGCTTTGAACAAAAAATAATTTAACTATGAGAAAGATATTTGCCTTTATAAAAGAAGGATTTTGTTATAAAAAAAATTATGTTTCTTTTGAAAAGTGATTCATGTCTCTTACGACAAAAAGTTGTCTTTAGACTTGACATAAAGTTTTCTTGAAAATGTATATCATTCTGTTGTGGATATATACTTTTTATAAAATAATGTTTTTCCATAGGAAAATATAAAATATTATGCAATGAAGTGAAAGTAGCATAAAGTAGAAATAAAGGTTTATATTTTATATTACAGTTTTATTACTCACATATAAAATGCGAGCAGACATATTCGTGCGCAATTCCTCAAGGAATTCTTTGCGTCTAGTTTTGATCTCGTTTGAAGTAAATATAAGTGCTATGTAAAAAAAAATTATAACTTGACTATATAAAACAAATATATAATCTCTCAGTGAATGTCCAAAATTTTCAACAATATAAACAAATATGAAATATATATTTAATATTCAAATATTTGAATTTGACATATATTTGAAAAGCCATTTTTAAATATTAAGTATATATTTCATATTTGTTCTTTTTAAAAAGCTCTAATCTTATTTTGCAAATTCTAATTAGAAGTTATAAATGTATTGTTTATCCTCCATAAAATTTTTTTTTTTATTACAATATCTTACAAGCCGTGTTATCAAGAATTTAAATATTGGATTTTTCTAAGAAAATAAATTTTTCGCTTATATATATATAACGATGAAGTCATGCCAAATTTTTAGTTTGTAGCTATCGATTATAAAAAAAAAAAAGCCATAAAACTTTTATTTGAAATAATTTTTTAAAAATGCATTTTTTAATGATATTTGAGATATTTCAATGTATTCGAGATATTTGAGATGGGCAATTAAAAATGAGGCATTCTGTGTATGTGTACATTTATATTATATATATATGTATATATTTAATATGTATAAATGTACATATGCACATTTAGCGTAATCTATAATGATAAATTACACTGTGTATCAATATTCTCAAACTAGAACTTGTGAGTACACATGACTTCATCGTCATAGGCGGAAAATTTACTACCATAGAAAAACTCTGTAATATTAAGTCTTTCATAATAAATATATAGCTAAAAAGTACGATATTGAAATTAAAAAATATATATTTTCTAAGGGATGAGCCATACACTTATGATCCATAACTTATGATCAGAATTTTAAGATAACATTAATCTTTTTTTTTTACAAAAAGTGTCAAATATTAATCACACATTTAATAAAACATTAATCATTTATTTTGGAATTTTGATGTGCTAACAAATTTAACTCGCGGCATCGTTTCGATATTCAAAAATCTATAAGAAACCCCTTGCCTGTTTTAAATTAATTAAACAAAATTTTTTTATAAACTAATGTTAACATTTTCCTAGAAATATGTCAATATTTTTTTTTATAAAAGTTATTTTTATAAAAAATTTATATAAAAAAAGGAAAATTAGGATTTAATAAAATCAACGTCGAATAAGAAATATGTTTTCTTTCGGTGAAAACTTTGTTGACTATCGTAATCGTTAATATATTAATATTATATTTGAAGAGTAAAAATCAGAATGAAAACTGAGCATGCACTTACGCCAACACAATGTACACCTGTCTACGTGATAACATTAATCGCTTTGCATATTGATATTGTTACGTTCAATATTTGTAGATAGATATCGAATGGATGAGACATGTAGGTATATATACAATACAATATAAACATAGGTTATAACGGAACAAGGTATCATATGCGTCGAAATGCAAACGAGAGAATATTTAGTTTTTTCTTTTTTTTACAAAATATATATTGGATTTTTACATTTATAACTTGAGATTCTCTTCTGGAAAAAAAAAGTATTTAAAATTGCGAATCTCACGATTTGGATGAGGTTTAGCTTATATGTTGCGTCAGTTGATTGGAGAGTCTGATAAAATAAATCGGAATAACCCAGATTACGGCAGAATATTCGCAATGGAGTACATCGGAATACGCCGCAGACAGAGTCGCGGAAGACTCAGTTCGCGTGATTGAAATAGATCGCAGTTAGTCAGGATAGGCTGGAGGTAAGCGCACCCTAGAGGAGGCCTGATCGTGACACGTAGCCTCTTCCGAGGGTGAGAATCGAATAGTGACTCCTGGGGGGTGCGCGCGCGTTGTCGCGCGATATCGGTGGCTGCGCGATGACACGGCGCGCGTTCTCGCTGCGCCGGCAGACCAGCATTACGGTCGCGTTACCCTCGCGACACGGAAGACCGAGTGGAGAGTGTATTCTGACGCGCGGCGCTAACCACCTAGGCGAGGAAGCACGCAGCCAAGAGACCCGAGCGTGCCAAGCTCGGTCTTCGTCATCGTATCGACGTGGCGCAAGTCCATCGCTCCTCGCCGTTACCAACGTTTCTGCGAGTAGCCGGATATTAATTCGTGTGCGAATTGAATAATAACGTACCTCCTATCGGAGCGAGACGAGAATTCGATCTGAGCCCGGCTTTTCAGCATAAGCATCATCGAAAGTGTCGTCACGTGCGAATACGAACTGGTTCTAGAAGCAATCTGTTCCACGTCATCTGTTCCAGTCAAAATCCTGAAGAGCAATCTTCTTCCGCGATAGCGTGTCACGATCGACTCTGGGATTTCCTAGGTCGACGACCTTGTGGTTTTCCTGCTTCTGATCATTCTGCGCGAGTGTCGCGAAGCGTTTCATCGAGCAAAGTGCAGTTTTGTGTCGTGTGATTCTTTATCATCCTTAATTCTCCTGCGAATATCTCAGCTGTGAGTCTTCCGTTTGTGGTCATTCTATCGGCATCGATAAGTCACTTCATCGGTCCACGCGACCAGCTGCTACCGTCTCTCTCTCTCTCTTTCTATCACACACACACAACACACACACACACACACTCTCTCTCTTTCTCTCTCTTACGCCGCTCCAATCGCAGCATGGGGGACCAGGAGCAACAGGAAACGATGCCAAGCGTGGTAGAGTTGAACGTGGGCGGCGTCTTCTATACCACTGCTCTGACTACATTAACCCGCGAGAGCGATTCGCACCTGGCGGCACTCTTCACTGGCAAATCCACCGTGGAGAAGGATGCCAAAGGCAAATATTTTCTGGACCGCGACGGCGTACTCTTCCGTTATGTATTAGACTTTCTGCGCAATCAGGCGCTCGTTTTACCCGAGGGCTTTCGCGAACGCGAGAGACTCAAACAGGAGGCGAATTTCTACGGTCTGCCTGGTTTAGAGAAGGCAATTTTGGAGAATACAGACTCCGGCGGACAAATTGGCGGCGCAATTGGTAAACGCACACCAGGATACATCACCATTGGCTATCGGGGCAGCTTTGCCTTTGGCCGCGAGGGTCTGGCCGACGTCAAGTTCCGCAAGCTCTCGAGGATCCTCGTGTGCGGCCGCGTGGCACTCTGCCGGGACGTTTTTGGCGAAACACTGAACGAAAGTCGCGATCCTGATCACGGCATGTCTGATCGCTACACATCACGTTTTTTCCTGAAACACAGCGTCATCGAACAGGCCTTCGATATGCTGCAGGAGCAGGGCTTCAGACTAGCGGGTAGTTGTGGCTCCGGTACCGCCGGGAGCAATTCCGAGCAACTGAAACCCGGAGTGGATTCCGAAGAGAATCGTTGGAATCATTATAATGAGTTCGTCTTCGTGCGCGATTAAAGAGTTTCGCAAGTGAGTGCTTTGAACTAAACATCGTTAACGGCTCATATTTTGCAAAAATACGAGGCTGCGATCGCAGCCGCTGCGAAAAAGGACTTCTTCGGTTATTTGAAACAGTTCAGACAGAAGTGGAAACATTCGCGAAAACACGTGTGTCTAACTCAACGTGTGTGAATAACATAATAAGGAAGACTCTCATTTATAGCATGCTTTATGATACATAATGAAGTTGATATGCAATATCAAGTTTAACAGGTGTTTGTACGAAAGCGTCGGACAATCGCGTTTTTTTCGCGAAGTTCTTAATTAATTTTCTCCCATATAAGAAAATTTCTCAGTCATTACTATCATCAGTCAACGTGGACATAAAAGGAATTTGGACTACTTTGACATTCGAGAATACTAACATCGTCTTCTGAAATATTATATCTTGGAATGTGTTTTTCTCACTTTAATCAATTCTTTTATCGGAATGAAGAAAAATGGATAAGACGCGACGAAGATAGATATCCGAGAACTGTCGTCTTTTGATAGAACCCTCGTCTAAAACATTGACAGCGCTGAAATAACGAGGAATTGGATTTCTGTATTAAGGAGAATTGTGAGTTCTCTCTCGTCGAGCGCGATCGTGTCGGGAATTTGCTTGGATCAAGATGCAACATAAAGAATTATGAACGGCAAGTTAACGTCGAGCGTCGGACTTAAAATTATAGTCAATGTCAAACGTAACAATTTGGGGAACGTATAATGTGTTGAAACCAAAGACATTTCGTTAATTCTTGATCGTATGCTTTTTATGTGTATAACTAATTATTCAACTGTAAATGAGTTTGATCCACATACAAATAGAATCTAAGACTTTTCTGAATACGGTGTGTTATAAGGTCTTCCGTAATCGGAAAACGTGCCGACGGCAATAACAAAATTGCCATTTCCGACAAAAATCCGATGTGCTCCTATATCCAGGGCTGTTGCGAAGGAGAGACGTTTATTAAAAAGTAGTCTCGCGTAATCCACGAGATGAAAGATGCCAATATCGGGCGTTTTTCATTGCCGGTGGACGCGAAAGTAAGGCGGTGAATGAGACGGTGCGCAATAAAAGCGAATCGGGGCAAAAGGGATGGATGATGCTGAAATATTTGCGAACGAATGCGATTTGGCCACTTAAAGAGGTAACAGTGTCAGATACGTCAGTGATAAATGTCGTTGGACGCAACGGTCGAGAAAATGTATAAGGAAATATGTAAATGCAAAACGGACATGACGTGGACACAAGTATCGGCTGCTATTTAAAATCAGATCGAACGAATGACGCAATAACGTTTGCGTGTTTTTCACTCGCGTCTGACGCAAGAGGAAATTAAAGGTGATGAAAAATTTCAATTATGTACGGATAACGAGACCATTATTTAAAGAAAGTCTCCGGTGTTAGTACGCCAAGTAGTTAATTCTGATAAATAGTCGGCCCGAGTAGTCACTGCTAGATGACGGTCAGACCGAGTAGTTACTACTGATCGCTAGTCGGACCAAGTAGATAGCGATACCGCTGGAATCGGATCTTTTCTTTAAGTAGGAAATACACACAGTGAAAGAACGGCGGTAAAAAAGATACACCGATATTTAGCGAATTATCGTTTCTGTATAAATTCGGCTTAAATAGGGTAACTAGCACCATCTTCGATAGGCGGAACGGCTTGTCGAATGTGTGTACTTACAACCCGACACGATGTCAAACGTGCTATTCGAAAGACGGAACGCCCGAAGATACGTGCTTTCTTCTAATGGCTTTTTGTCAGTCTCTTAAACTTGATAAAAAACTTCGAGTCAATGCTACTTTTCTTTCTCGTCTTAAATTCTTTTCTCTGTAAAGCAGAACGTAAATGTGACAAGCAATTCATAACTTTCGATCCGTTAACGTGTAGAAATATCGGAACACGATGAAAGCGCAGTGTTGTTATAAATTTGCGGTGAATTTCATGTCGTTAATCAGTATTCGTGCAAAAATATCTAGATAATTAACATATTTTTTTCTTTTTGAATTGTGTTTTATGCAATACACTTGGAAAATAACGTTTTCAGAATTTTTTCGAACGAAAGAAAGAGTTATAAGCTATAAAGAATTGATCACTTTTGTTAATTCTATATTAATACTTACTTATTATCACTTTTAACTGTGATACTTTGTGTTGAAAGTTTAAGTTATATTTTTTTTTATTATCCTGTTATAAAATATAAAATAGTAGATTTTTAGTTTGGACTCCCCAATTATTGCGCGTTGTGTGAAATAGCGTCTTATCTACTTATTAATATCATTAGTAATTGTTTGATTATTCGCGGAATAATGAAAGAATCGAAAAATTCATCACGATTATCTTGTCGCAACAGGTTATCATGTAACGGATAATATTTAACGACTGTTCCGAAGAGCACCGACGGCACTAAACAGACAAGGCAGATATCGAGTTTAGCTTCTCGTTATTACAGAAAGCGTACAACGTCGAAGATTTTCTTAAAAATAATGGAGATAATAAATCTTGCGTCGTAGCAATGTCTCATATATCGTTATTATTATGGATCATATATGGTACTTATTATTATGATGATCGATGAATGTGTAGAATCACAATAAACGTAGAGTTATTTCAATTTTTAATGCATGTATTTAACTTTCATAACTTGTTATATAGCAAAATCAAAATTATACATATATATATATTTGTGAAAGATTTATTGCTACGAAAATCGAGATGAAAATTTACAATTGGATGCTTGCTCTTTATTTCGATACGCGTTGCGATAATCCGAAAAAACAATTTCGGAATGATGATGCGAATCAAAGCTGTTATTGTTAGTACATGGTTCGCTGGTTCAATGAACGTCGTTTCTGCATCCGCAATGGATTGATTTATAATGTCGTTATACGTTCGGGTTGTCGTACGAGTCATGCGTGTCAATGCGAGGTGTTATTTGTAACAGAGTGGATATGATAGCCCAATGTGCGAAAATTTAATTTGTTTACATTGCACGATCTGCTATCGAAACCGTTAATTTTCCGCAATTGAGAGATCTCACAAAAACTGTTGTTGATTGCTAAATTTTCAAGACAATGTTTCCCATTAAGAGAAAACGTTATTAGAGTATACATAACACAAGTGAAACGAGTGAACGACGTTTTCCAAGTTCGTGTCTTGTGAGATATATCAGCTTTCAGATATGATCTGCAATTGATCACAATTCATAATGATGACTATTGCATTGAGCAATGCGTCCTATATATCTTGTTGGGAGATTCTATTGATTAATGTGGAGCGGTAATGGCATCGTAATCGGTACTTGGTTATAATTAGTAAATCGCCTACTTCCATTTACTCTGTACAAATAAAGACATTCAGGTAAATCAAACTTGTAAGATAGTAGACGGATATTGCACGACGTTAATGTAAAAGAGTCTCACGTAGAACGACTGTAAACTTCAATTTACTTTATAATGGAACAATACTACATAATGGTACAAATTTAAATCTTTACCAACAATATATATTATTCAGATATTTATTTCTTATATATGATATATTTGGTACTTTTAACATAATCGTTTATTGAATATCTTGGTTTTAATTGATTAGGTCTTATGTTAGTTTACAAGTTAAATTATTTGTACAAATAATGTGCAAATATATAAAATTGGGCCCAAATAAATATTTATGCGACAAATATATCGCGATGGAACTTTGCATTATTGACATCTCATTTCGAGTTTTTATGGTCATTAAAATTAATGACTGATTTTAGATTAACATATATATTCATCTTTACAATGTCGAATAGAAATGAATTGTATTTTCTGATGCTCTCTTGTATTCATTTCTAAAATATTGAGAATGATAAGAACAATTTTCAAATGTAGCGAAAAGGCATGTTTTAGCAAACATTTATATCTTATCACCTTAGTATCAGTATATTAAATTCTTAGAAATATTAGAATAAATATTTATATCTTTTTGATTAATTACATTCAGGTTCGGATTAAAAACTTTTTTAATTTATATGCATATATTGTATAAAATATACTTTTGTTGTAAGTTTTAAAGATTGTCTTTATGTATCTAAGTATATGCATACGTTTATTTGTAGTGATACATTAAGCATGTGGGGAACTGAAATCGACGATAATAATGCCGATTAAATTTGGTGACATAAGGCTCTATTTCATAGATTAAAAGCAGTATTATAGATTTTTCGTGCAAGATAGTGAGTTACGAGTGAATACATTTGATAGAACTCGATTTTTTTGTATTCCATCAAATTTTAAAGAATTTGAATTTTATCGAAATCTATCGACCATTCCAATTTTTATTAAATAGTGACTTTGGGCAATTTCGAAATAATTATTTTATCGATTACTCTATTTAATCCAATTTAAATCTTTGTTTTCGTTTTAGAAAGTTCAGTATTTGATTTTTGTAAAGTATGATTAAATTTTGACCTAATTTTTAATCAAATGAGCTTATTGTATGCATTTTGCTAAACTTCTTTCTTTGATATAAAATTTCTATAAATATCACCGTTTGAAGTTTAATGTTGGCATTCCAAATTTTGTTTGTAAAATTTAATACAAAACATAAGAAGAAAATTAGTAGAGAAATAGTATAGTTGACGATGTGATCGGATTATTTTTCAAATTATAATTATGATAAAGATGTCTTTAGTATCCATAATAACAAGATAATTTGTTATAACATTTTTTTATCCACAATTAGAATATATAAAATATTTTATGTATTATTTAAAAGGCATACCTATATTTAATTATAAATAAGAGAAATTATATTCCTATATATTATACTTATTATATATTTATTCATACAATTGGATGAAGAAAACCAATTTTTCTAAAGTGCATGCGTAGTTTGACATTTTTTGAGAAATAGTCCGACCAGATATTGCAACTCACATCGTGGAAACGTTTGATCCCTATATTTGAGACTCACAATTCATTG